ATGGGACGGTGTGTTGAGCTTTACTCTGCCAGTGGTTGCCTTCGCTGTCTTCCACGCATCACCGCATCTTACACTCACAATGACAGCAGGAGGAGGGAAGGTATCCCCACTCGATGGATGAAGAAACAGGCACAGAGAGGTTGGGGGCCTGCCCCAGGCCCACAGCGAGAAAGCTGGGAAGTGGTGCTTCTAGTTCCTCTGCACTACAGCTGAAGGGTGGGCACCGTTCTGATGAGGACTGATGGAGACTTTGGGGGCCCTGAGGGGCAACACACAAGCTGAGGTCTGAAGGAAGAGTAGGAGTTAACCAAAGTTTGGGGTCGGGGGTAACATAGGTCTGAAGTTGGGACTCTGGAGTCTGCTATGGACTAAATGTTTGTGTCCCCCCTCAAAATGCATGTGTTAAAATCCTAATCCCCAATATGATGGCATTAGGAGGTGATTAGGTCATGAGGGTGTAGCCTCACAGAAAGATCACTGAGAGCTTGCTTCCTCTCTCTACTCCACCACGTGAGGACACGAGAATGCAGACATCTGCACACCAGGAAAGGGTCCTCATCAGTCAACAGGTCTGCATGCACCTTGACCTTAGACTTCCCAGCCTCTAGAACCGTGAAAAATCAACGTTTATTGTTTAAGCTGCCAAGTCCATGGTCGTTTCCGGAGTCTGAGGGCCTGGAAGCCCAACCACACACCTCCAGCAGGCCTTGGTGTCCACCTGCTCTTCATTCCACCCTTCCTGGTCTTCAGCCCCTAGCCTGAATGCCACCCGCTGCTCTGCCCCACCAAACGCTGTTTGCTGCCATCCAAATAATGCTGTGTAAACAGCAGAAAGGAACCAACAATACAGAGAAGTTAGCAAGGCTCCAAAGCGCCTGACGAAGCCCCCCCGGTCTCTGCCCTGGCCTTTCGTCCCTGAGCCTTTCATGGGGGTACCTGGATGACCCCTGGGGTTGACGACCAAGTTCATATTACCAAAAGTCTCTACTTCTAGCCAAGACCTCAGGAGACTTTCCTCTGAGGCCGCTCTTCCCAGCTCCTGGCTGGCAGGGCCCCAGGTAGACCAGCAGCTCTCCCTCCTCTCCTGGGGACTGTCTGCCTCCCCAGGGCCCTCCAGACTCATCAAAGGGATATTGGTTTCCTCAGAAACCCAAGGGCATGTCCTCAGACACTCAGAAGCCAGTTATTATACTGTCTGTTTCAACTGCTGGTATACAGCAGCTTCTCCAGCTTCATGGTGCAATTCTTTTAGAAAGAAGAAAAAGGTTGAATAAAAATGCATTCATGTATTTGTTGAGTACCTACCATGTGCCAGGGCCTGTGCTTTGGGCTCTGGGATGCAGAGCAGAGTTTGCTGTGGCCCTTGTCCTCTCCTGAGACATCACTCTAAGTCTGTCCTCTGGGCAGAGCCTAGCTCCAGTGGGGTGGCAGAAAGACACACCCCCCACTTTTGGCAGCTGTGCAGAGAGAGGCTGAAGCAAAAGAGGTGAGACTAGAGGCGAGAAGAGCAAGTGCAAGACTAGGCTGCCTGCACCAAGCCCTGACCCTGACAGCTGGGAAAATGTTGAAAGACCCAGGGCCCATGGGAGAGCCCAGGCACTTGACATGGCCGTGCCTCAGTGGCCCTGCCTGCTGGATGGGGTACTACCTGCCTCGGGGGCTTGTTACGCCTGTCACAACAGTGCCTGGTATACAACAAGCACTCAGTAATGTCGGCCATGGCCCTTTCATCATCTGAAGTGTAGGAGAGCAATGGAGAGGAGTCACCGCCGACGTCCCGGAGGGCACTGGCAGTCAAATGCCAACTGAATCTGTGGGAGCACGGACTGGACAGCTCCTCCCGGCAGCTCCTCGTCAGCAACAGGCAGACCCGGAGGTTCAAAATGGCCACAGCAGGCAGGATTGAAATGTTCACGTGGCCAGTGCTGCTCGGACATGTAGCGGATGGCTGCTTCCCAGGAGGTGCCTCTCAGCACACCCAGCACGGAGGCAGCACGTTAGGGCCTGTCAGGTGGATGGAACAGAGGGCTCCCGGCTACAGGCCCCCGTTCTTTGGCAACTTTATGCCTTGAAAAGACGGCTTCAGAAGGAAACTTGTTAAACACGCAGAGAATTTCAAGCCAAGAAAGGAGCAAAGATCCCTGAAGGCCTTGCCAAGCTGAAATGCTGAGCGGAATCAAATGAAGCAAATTTGAATGGGGACAAACTGTGCAAGCCAGTGACCCAGGACAGGAAGGAGGAGATCTGACTCAGCAAAAGCAAGTGGGACAACACTGGAGGTTTGTTCACAATGAGCCCCTAACGGGCGGGCCGTGAGGAGCGCAAACCCCGAGTGCACCCCAGGAGGTTCCTGTCACTCCTGCGGGCCCAGCCTCCCTGCAGCCAGGAACTAGGTCTGTTCCCAAGTGACTCTGTCCAAGAGCTCAGAAGGGCAGGACTGAGAGCATCATAGAGGGCCCAGTGTCTCTCACTCCCAAGACGCCAGCCCCAGACATATCATCCAAATGGATGTGGATACATTTCTGGATGGACCTCACTCCCAAACCTGTGGTACTCTTTATACCAAGCTCAAACCCAATAGACTTGGATACCAAAGGACACTTTGTATATACAACATAACAAAAAGAAAACGAAAATTCGAATGAAGAGGAAATAAGAGTAAGGGGAGAAGAGGAAGCCTGGCGGAGGTTAATTCAAAGAAAGGAGCAGGAGGCTGCAGCCTAACATTCTGGGAGACCCTGGAGGTCTTCTGAGGGCCTCTATTGTGCACTGTGACTCCAAGGAGGGGCTGGAAGCAGCAGAGGCATGGTGGGCCACAGTCTTCCCTGGCACCAGGCTACAAGAGGAGGAAGAGAACAGTGAAGGAGGAACCTGCCTGCAGCTCTGCCTGCACGTCTCCGTACAACCAAACTACTGGGAAGGGCTGTGTGTGCCCTGTCTCCACCTTACCCTCCCACTCACTTTTCAGACTTGTGAATCTGGGCTTGGCCAAACCACTTCCCCAAACAGCCCTTGATGCATCACCAATGACTTTCAAGTCCCTAAAGCTGATGCACACTTTTTTTTCAGTCTTCGTCTCATCTGACCTCTCAGCCTCACTAGACACCACTGCTGCTTCACATAACCTTGAAATATCCTCTGCCTGTGGCCTCTGCAGCTCAGCCTTCTCCAGTTTTCCTGTCGCTATGGACACTTCTGCTCTATGTCCTCTGCAGCTTTGTCCTGGCTCTGCTAGGCACTGTGGGCCGAAGGCTTATTCTCTCTCATTTGTTCCCAATTCCTGGGCAACCTCATCCGCTCATATGGATCCAGTTGCCATCTAGGAGCTGATACCTCTAATGTGTATCTTTCCAGCCCACACAGTCGGTTCTCCTCTGGGACCTGGAGCAGTAACCCCCTGCCTCCTGGCACATCTCCTTAACATCCTGATCTCCGCAGCACATCCAAACCTGACTCCGAATATTCACTCTAAACTTGGTTTTCCTTCCAACTGGGTTGTTATAATCAGAGGCTCCACCACTCATGCCAGAAACTGCAAGGCCATCCTGCCCTCATTCTCGCCTTCATCCCCACATCCAGGCCAACTCCAAGACCAGCCCATGCAGTACCACTAAACATTTCTCAGCCCTGCCAACTGTCTCCACCTCCACAGCACCACCTGTGAACCAGCCACCCTCACTGCTTTTTGGATGACTGCAGTGGCCTCCTTACTGTGTGCCACTCAGTAGCTTCTTCCCTCCAATCTGTTCCCACATGCCCCTCCTTAAAGATCAATCAAGATCATAGCCACAGGCCCTGTCCCGACCTGGGCCCTCCATCCCTCCCCAGCACATACACCCACCCTGCTCATTCTCTGCTCCACCACACTTTTGGTTTCTTTGGTGAAGCACACTACCCGACTGGATCTGGCCCACCTGCTGTACCCTCTCCCAGCACCAGTGCCTCTCCCAGGCAGCATTTATCACAGGGTAAACTCAGCATTTATACATGATCATTCAATTCATAGCCACTCCCCACTAGCTGGTAAAGTCAATAAGGTGGGGACAATGCCTGCTATGACTAGCACTGAACCCCCAATTCCTAACACAATGCCTGCCACAGTCGGTGACAACACTGGCATATACAAAAGGAAATAGAGATGGTGCATCAGTCAGAGTTCTGTTATATTAGGAGATTTATTTTAAGGGCTTGGTCACATAATTGTGGGGGCTGGCAAGTCCAAAATCTGTAAGGCAGGCTGGAAACTCAGGCAGGATTTCTATGCTACAATCTTCAGGCAGAATTCCTTCTTTTCCAGAAAACTTCAGGTTTTTTTCACTCTTAAGTTCTTCTGCCAGGCACAGTAGCTCACACCTGTAATTCCAGCACTTTGGGAGGCTGAGGCAGGAGGATTGCTTAAGCCCAAGAGTTTGAGGCCTGCCTGGCCAATGTGGTAAGACCCCATCTCTACAAAAAAATGTTTTAAATAAAAATTAGCTGAGTGTGGTCACACACACCTGTAGTCTCAGCTACTTGGGAGGCTGAGGCAGGAGGATCGCTTGATCATAGGAGGTCGAGGCTGCAGTGAGCTATGATGGTGACACTGCATTGCAGCCTAGGCAACAGACTGAGACCTTGCCTCAAAAAAAGTAAATCAATAAGTAAAGAAATAAATACACAAATTTCAAAATTAAAAAAATAAATTTTTAAAAAGTGATTCAACTGAATGGATGAGGCCCACCCAAATGACTGAAGGTAATCTCCTTTACTTAAAGTCAACATAATAGCTTCACAGCAATGTCTAGATATATGATAGCTTCACAGCAATGTCTAGGCTACATTTTGACCAAACACCTGGACACTATAGCCTAGCAACATTGACACATAAAATGTAACCATCACAGACGGCATCAACCCAAGAGGCCAACAGTGAAATAAGACCATGATGAGCTAATTTTCACATGTTGAAGGAAAACCCAACAGATACCCTCTATAAAGTTAGAGGGATGACTGAAGAGACCTCAACTCTGGTTCTTGGGGACTCTGGTCCCTGGGGCCAGAGTGACTGAGCCAGGATTACAGTCTGAAGTATTAGAGGAAGGGTAGGGGTAGGCCCCCCATTGTGAGGTCCAGGTAGAATGCTCAACTCAGACTGATCCCAGCCCTGGCTGACCTTCTTCCCCTTCCTCTTTCCCACATTCTACCAGGAGTCTGCCCTCTGGCCTGTACCTGGACTTTGCTATCCTCTCCCTGCCCTAAAAAGAGGTTTGAGGTAGAACAGCCACAGAGCCAGTGGAGGCCACTAGGACACGGCCTCACTCAGTACTCGAGGTCAGGACCGTAGAGTTATCTGCAGATAGCTCTAAGAGAAGGGTAGCATGATGAGGACTGAGTCCTGAGTTCTTAGAGCCAAGTGAGGGATACAGTCTTGGTTTCTTGAAGGACTAAAGTCAGGAAAATTCAAGGAGCTGAGGAATAGCGATCCAAGTACAGAGAAGGCACCGATGGGAGATTTTGAATAGAGAACGCTGAGTCACCAGAAACGGAAACTCCAAGTTGTAGAGAGCTCCTGGACCAGCAGTAAGATAGAGACTCTGAGCACCTGGGTCAGAAGCAATCATGGGCGAGTGTCCAGGCCTTCAAGACACAGCATCCCAGGAGAAGGCTGAGAGGTCAAACCCAGGCATGTTCAAGATCACAAGGAAGGGGCATTCTGGCCAGGAAGGTGGAGTGGTGGGTTTTCGTTCAACAAATATTTACTGGTTACCTACAAACCTTGTGCCAAGCCCTCTGCTGGACACTGGGGTTTCCAGGAACGTGTTACAATCCCTGACCTTACTGTAAAGCCAGTGGACAGCGTTAAGGAACTAGCACGGAACTGGAACCGGGGGAAGTGCTATGACACAGGACACATCTGCTGGGGAAACCCAGCGGGCAGCAATTAACTTGCGGTGGGGGAGAGGAAGTTTCACAGAAGAGGCACCGTGAGGGTGAAGTTGGCCAGAGAGAAAAGGTCAGGACATTCCAGGCCAGGGCAAGGCCTGTGCATAGGCCTGGTGGCATGGAGAGCTGAGTGTGTTAGAGCAGAGAGGGCAAGGAGGAGGGCACAGCCTCTGACCTCACAATACCCAGGGCCCGCTGGGCCAGCCTTGCAGACTCTGCACCCTCCTTCAGCCCGGGCAAGGCCCGGGGCCCTGGGCAGCCTCCAGGTGCAGTGCCCTCCCGTAGGCCGCACCCTTCCCACTGCCCCAGGGCATGTCTCTACTCACCAATTATGAGGGGCTTCGGCATCAGATAGAGAGGCTGGTGCGGGAAAATGAGGAACTGAAGAAGCTGGTGCGGCTCATTCGGGAGAATCATGAGCTCAAGTCAGCGATCAAGACTCAGGCAGGCGGGCTCGGCATCAGCGGGTTCACGACTGGGCTTGGTGAGGCAACAGCAGGCCTTCCCTCACGCCAGAGCAATGGTAAGAGGCCTTGGTCCCATGAGAGTGGGGAGGGAAGCGGGTATGCACCAGAGAGGACAGACTCGGTGTGCTGAGGTCTCAGGAGGTCGTGGAGGGAATGCCCTCCTCCTTGCTCCTCTGCAGCTTGGCAATGAACCCTGGCACCACTGCTCTAGAACGGTCACAAGTGGCTTCCTGGGTGCTGCATCCTTCACCTTTGCATGGCATCTGAGATCGATAGCTCTCCTCCGTGCCCCTCTTTCTGAATTCCCAAGCCATCTTGTCCACACCCCTGGCTCATCTTAGTGGAGGCTGCTCCCAGGCTGTGGGTCCAGGACCTGTCCCTCCACCCTCAACCAGCCTACCCACAGCACAGCTTCAACACTCCACTAGAAGTCAAGATCCCCTACAGATCCTGCAGGCTCAGTGAGTCACTGGAACTTGACTCACTCCAAACTAGACATGCTGGTTAACTTGGGTGTTTCCAGAGGGTAAAGCCCTTCAGGCTTGTGCTCACTCCCCTCGGGTCTTAATTCCCTGCTCCCTACCCACTGAGTTCCCTGCCATACAACCTGACTGTGGCATAGGACTGGTCTCCAGTTCCCCCACGCTGATCACGAGCACACAGACACCTCGTTTTAAATGTTACACCTCTAGTGACACAGAGACAACAGACAGGGTAAAAAAAATCATACACATGGGTCCAGGTGCGGTGGCTCACGCCTATAATCCCAGCACTTTGGGAAGCCGAGGCAAGCAGATCACCTGAGGTCAGGAGTTTGAGATCAACCTGGCCAACATGGCGAAACCCCGTCTCTACTAAAAACACAAAAATTTTCTGGACCTGGTGGTTCACGCCTATAATCCCAGCTACTCAGGAGGCTGAGGCAGGAGAATCACTTGAACCTGAGAGATGGAGTTTGCAGTGAGCCAAGATCACACCACTGCATTCCAGCCTAGTTGACAGGGCGAGACTCTATCTCAAAAACTAATAATAGGCTGAGTGCAGTGGCTCACCCAGGAATCCCAGCACTTTGGGAGGCCAAGGTGGGTGGATCACCTGAGGTCAAGAGTTTGAGACCAGCCTGGCCAACATAGTGAAATACCATCTCTACTAAAAATACAAAAAGTTAGCCAGGTATGGTGGCACACACCTGTGGTCCCAGCTACTCGGGAGGCTGAGACAAGAGAATCCCTTGAACCGGGAGGTAGAGGTTGCAGTGAGCCGAGGTGGTGCCATTGCACTATATCCTGGGCCAAAAGAGTGAAATTTCAAAAGAAAGAAAGAAGAAAGAGGGAGGAAGGAAGGAAGGAAGGAAGGAAGGAAGGAAGGAAGGAAGGAAGGAAGGAAGGAAGGAAAGAAGGAAGGAGAGGAGAAGGAGGAGAAGAAGAAGAAGACGAGGAAGGGGAAAAGGGGAAGAAGAAGAAGGAGAAGAAGGAGAAGGAGGAGAAGGAGAAGGAGGAGGAAGAAAGAAGAAGAAGGAAAGAAGGAAAGAAGGAAGGAAGGAAGGAAGGAAGGAAGGAAGGAAGGAAGGAAGGAAGGAAGGAAGGAAGGAAAGAAAATTTTCCTGTTTCAGAAGCTAGACTCTGGTTTCGTACTCCCAGGCTAACCAAGCAAGCCCTCTCCTCCCAGCTTTCATTCTTAAGGGAATCCTTGGACCACTTCAGATCTTCCACCTCCCCAAAGGTCAAGTTTTGAGGGTGAGGAAAAGCTTCCTGGAGGAGGTGAGCCCAGCCAACTGGTTGTGAAGGGGAAAGGAGCATGCCACAAGTAGAAGTTACTCATACAAATGCCTGGCCCCAGGGATTGCAGGAATGAGAAACAGATGTGCAATTAAAGCCCCGACCCATGTGTGTGTGTGTAATGTGGGTATATGTGTGTGAATGTGGTATGAGAGTATGTGTGGTACACACTTATGCACCACACATACTCTGTAGTGTAAGTATGGAGTGTGTGGTGTGGGTGTGTGAATGAGTGTGTATGAATGTGTATAGGAAAATGTGCATGATGCTGACTCTGGGCATACTGCCTAGGAGTTAGCCTTGTTCACAAGGAGCAGTGCTGTAAAAAGAAAATTAAATCTAATTTTTAAATATTTAATTTTTTTTTTTTTTTGAGACAGAGTCTTGCTCTGTCAATCAGGCTGGAGTGCAGTGGCACAATCTCAGCTCACCGCAACCTCTGCTTCCTGGGTTAAAACGATTCTCCTGCCTCAGCCTCCTGAGTAGCTGAGATTACAGGTACGTGCCAGTACACCCGGCTAATTTTTCTTTTTTTGTTTTCTGTTTTTTTTTTTTTTAGTAGAGATGGAGTTTCACCATGTTGGCCACGCTGGTCTCAAACTTCTGACCTCAGGTAATCTGCCCACCTCGGCCTCCCAAAGTGTTGAGATTACAGACATGAGCCACCGCGCCTAGCACAGGGAGCAGTACTGTAAAAAGAAAATTAAATGTAATTTCCAAATACTTAAAATTTTTAAAAAATAAAACATATAAAATAAAAATGAAAAGAAGGAAAATGTGGGCTGGGCACAGTGGCTCACGCCTGTAATGCCAGCACTTTGGGAGGCTAAGATGGGCGGATCACCTGAGGTCAGGAGTTCAAGACCAGCCTGGCCAACATGGTAAAACCCCATCTCTACTAAAAATACAAAAATCAGCCAGGTGTGTTGGCACACGCCTGTAATCCCATCTACTCGGGAGGCTGAGGCAGGAGAATGGCTTGAGCTCGCAAGGCAGAGGTTGCAGTGAGCCAAGACTGTGCCACTGCACTCCAGCCTGGGCAATTGAGTGAGACTCTGTCTCAAAAAAAAGAAAAAAAAGAAAAAAGAAAAAATGGGCGTGGCGCAGTGGCTCACGCCTGTAATTCCGGCACTTTGGGAGGCTGAGGTGGGGGGCTCACGAGGTCAGGAGATCGAGACCATCCTAGCTTACACGGTGAAAACCCGTCTCTACTAAAAATACAAAAACAAAATTAGCCGGGTGTGGTGGGGACGCCTGTAGTCCTAGCTACTCGGGAGGCTGAAGCGGGAGAATGGCAAGAATGGCATGAACCCGGGAGGCAGAGCTTGCAGTGAGCAGAGATCATGCCGCTGCACTCCAGCCTGGGCTGGAGACTTTTGAGGCTCTGTCTCAAAAAAGAAAAAAAGAAAGAAAGAAAGAAGGAAAGAAGGAAAGGAGAGAAAGGAGAGAAAGGAAAGAAAGAAAAGAAAGAAAGAAAAGAAGGAAGGAAGGGAAAGAAAGAAAGAAAGAAAAAGAAAAGAAAGAAAGAAAGCAAAAGGAAGGAAGGAAGGAAGGAAGGAAGGAAGGAAGGAAGGAAGGAAGGAAGGAAGGAAGATTAGCTGGACATGGTGGCAGGTGCCTGTAATCCCAGCTACTTGGGAGGCTGAGGCAGGAGAATCGCTTGTACCTGGGAGGTGGAGGTTGCAGTGAGCCTAAATTGCGCCACAGCACTCCAGCCTGTGCAATAAGAGCAAGACTTCGACTAAAAAAAAAGTGCATGTGTGTGTGAGAGGATATGGTGTGTCTGCTTTGACAGTGTGTGATTTGTGAGTGAATGTGTGCATATGGCTGTGTGTGTGTTTGTGAGTTGCTGTGTGTGTGAATGTATGTAAGAGTGTATGTGGTATGTATGTGTTATGTGGGTGTTTGAGTGTATGTTGGCATGTGTCTGATTATGTGAGTATATATGGTGTGTGTGTGTGGTGTGTTCATGTGTGACAGGGGCCAGGGAGAGGTGAACAATGCAGCCAGAGGGGTCAGATCACCAAGGACGGCAAATGACATGCTGAGGAGCTTGGACTTGCTCCTAAAGGCACTAAGAAGACACTGGTGGTCTCTTTTTTTTTTCTTTTCTTTTCTTTTCTTTCTTTTTTTTTTGAGACAGAGTTTCGGAGTTTCACTCTTGTTGCCCAGGCTGGAGTGTAATGGCGCAATCTCGGCTCACTGCAACCTCCACCTCCCTAGTTCAAGCAATTCTCCTGCCTCAGCCTCCCGAGTAGCTGGGACTACAGGCATGCACCACCACACCTGGCTAATTTTGTATTTTTTTAGTAGAGATGAGGTTTCTCCATATTGGTCAGGCTGGCCTCAAACTCCTGACTTCAGGTGACCTGCCCGCCTTGGCCTCCCAAAGTGCTGGGATTACAGGGATGAGCCACCATGCCCAGCCGAAACTGGTGGTTTCTAACAGAGAATAATCATGTTTGTGCTTCAGAAATGTTATCCCAGATGCTACGGGGAAAATGGATTGGAGGGAGAGTAGAGTAGACTGAGACAGGGAGATGGATTAGACTGAGGCTGTTGCAGTCATCCAGGTGGGAGATGACAGCATGAGCTACAGGTAGAGAGAAATCCATTCACATTATTTAATAAGAAAATGGAAAGCCTAACTGCTTGGATGTGAGGGATGACAAAGAGAGCATCCAGAATGTATCTGTTGTCCCAGCCAAGGCAGATCTCTACAGTTGCCTTGGAGAATCTTTCTCTGGCCACTTCCTCACCCTGCCTGTTCTCCTTGGCCATTCCCTGTGACTGGCCTCCTTCATAGAGTCGGGTTCTTATTCTTGATTTGCCCTCATGAACTCGGCCTTCAATTCCTCTTTCTGGGTCTACCCCTCTCCCTTATGCTCTGTGCACAGCCCTACCTCTGAAATCCCCCTGGTCCAGAGACCTGGCCCAACCCCATTTAGGAGGAACACAGGAGGAAACAGCTTGGGAGGTATGAACAGGGCTTGGTCTGGTGGGCTGTGGGTGTTTATAAGCATGTGCACCAGGCTCCTCTCAGTGCAGGACAGAGCTCAGATGGGAAGTGAAGGGGTGCAGAAGGGCAGGGCCAGGGGACCAGCTCTCTCCAATCTACCACATCCTGGCACAAAACTCCAGAGAGTACAAGAATTTCAAATTCAAATTTGACCTTCCAGGTTGTTACAAAGTTTATTTGTCAGGTTAAGAAAACAGAAAGTAGCCAGGCGCGGTGGCTCAAGCCTGTAATCCCAGCACTTTGGGAGGCCGAGACGGGC